TCCTTCTTTTCTTTTGCTGAGAAATACATCTTTAGTTCGTCTGAAAAATTCACAAGATCCACCCCTCGTATGTGAATACACTTCCCCCAAAATCACCATCGCCGGCGGTGACGAGAAATTATTAAGTCGAAAGACAGTTGATCGGGCCGTCGATAGAATCCTGGCCAAAGGATACTTCCGCCATTCATTCACCTGGGCCCAAGAACAGCAAGTTTTTGACAAACTTTCTGCTGTGCTTACTGCCGCTGGTTGTACTGTTAGATTTGTCTAAAAAAGCGAAGATTCGGCCGGAATTAGAGGTGATTGAATCTAGAGCTTTGCGATGGTAAGTGATTTTATAATTTCATCCCTGCCCCAACTATCACTGAGTTGCTTCAACTGATCAGGTTTGTCTTACTTCAGTCGTGCCTCGATGAATTGTCAAAACAGGGCTTCTTCCTCATCTATTGTTTCACAATGATATCTGTAGTATGCGTGTCAATTACTTAAGCTTCATCATCTAGCCCAGTGCATTAGGTTGTTAAGTCATGCTTAAGACAGCCATGTCATTTATACAGCTACGTTCAATGTTATGTCGACAACACCCCATCTTAGTGGCCGGTTCTGTCTCAAGAATCTGCATGATGCAATCAGCTAGGACCCAGCTGAAAATTCAGTATACCACAAAATTTGCCCTTAATGAGGCTCTTGCGGAAAGCTAGGTAGAATGGATTTTACTTAACTTATTGAACACCTTTTTTCAATTTTTTCTGGATGTAGGCGCTGTACTCCTTCTCGGAAGTAGCGCATGTTCACCAGGCTTCTAGGCACAATATCTTTTCATTCTATGTCTGTCATTAAATCGATTAATACAGTATTTTCCTTTGTTCAATAATATTTCCCACTCTGAAATCGTGTTTAATTTCTGTGGAGAATTTTGTTTCTAAGCCACCTTGCATGGTGCTGTAGGCTGCTGTACTTGAGGGGACCAAACCAACCTCCAACGGGTGTTATATCTCACTTGGGATGCCGAAGCCATCAGGCAACCTGACAACAAATACACGCGCGCAATTCATTTCGATAGTATCAGGCGCAAGCAGGTAGTGGCGGCCGGGCGTCAATTAAAATATAACTTGTCTTTGTTGTCGTAAGTGTTTTCAACCCCTCCGGTCAATTTCATCTTAAAACGTGATCACTGTCTATCGATCACTTAGAGCCTATACTCTTATATTCCCTTCTTGCATTGTTTTTCGCCTCCCACAGAAGAACTTGGGTCCAATGGGGGTTAAAAAATCTCCGCCGGTCAGTTGAAAATTTAAAGAATCTTTGCGCAATTTCACATCAACGTGCATAGCTAATTCTTCTGCTTTAACCAGAGCCCAAGATGCGTTTACCGGACGAACTCGTCGAGACATCGACTCAAATCTTTTCCTTGGGCCTATCAAAAGTTGGGTTACCTTTTTCAACGGCTCCATGACCTGGATGCAAGGAAAAGCGCTGGTTAAGAATGGGTCTCAGGATTTGTTTTGTGAGTTTGGGGGAGATCCAAACCTCATTGAACGTCGATTTGGTGGTAGCGTCAAGTGGTCTCATGAGAATACAACAGGCGAAGACCCCGTCTCCTTCAACGCCGAGGCCAGTCCGACTGCAACTCAGAAAGAAGAAGCGCAACTCAAGCAGGATACTTGGCGCTCCACCGCCACTTTGGTGCACCCAGGCTTAAACGAAGGGCCTGCGCACAACACGCGTTCCCGAGCCGGTGGTAGCTTGCGGGGGAGAGGGGGCCACAAAAGAAATTCGGTTACCGGCAGCTCTTGGCGTAGGATTTCGACCGAGAAGCTGACGGGTGGCGAGGGAAAGGAGAAGGTTGAAGCTGGTCATACTGATAATTTAGCTCAAATTACTGCTAGAATCGGATCGTTTTCGGTTGATAGCAATCATCAAAATGAGGATCCCCAAGCGACCAACCTTGGCCCGCCCGTCACAGGCATACATGCGGGCGATTGGGCCCATCCTGCCAATCATTCCACCAAAGTTGGCAGGTGGCTCGGTAAGTGATGATTTCTCTTAATCACCAGCTTAACTGCCACTTCCTCGCTAATTACAAAGAACTTTTTTGCGAAAGAAAACAAGGTGCATGCCGGCTCACAGGTCCCTGTGGATACACCTCCCACTCAAGCCCCGTCTTCGTTTGTCGGCGTTGTTATAGATTAAATCTCTAGTGGTTTTATGCAATCGTGTGACCCCGATAGTCTTTTCAAAATCTTATAGCCAGAAGCTACATCAGTGGAGCAAATTACAGCTAGTGCAAATTAGTGAGACTACCATTTATTTTGGCCAGATTGCCATTATCTAAAACAATCAATTTAAAACATATTGTTTTAAACTGCCATTAATGGCAATCTGGCCAAATGATGGGAGGAAAAAGAGAAACTAATTACAGATACGTGAGATCTCAACCAACACAACCTAGATCTGGTTTGTGCTGGTTGTTTTCATTTATTGCTCTAGAAGTATGTACAGGACCTCTAGAGCAATAAATGAAAACAAACAACAAGAACATTAATTAGGAGTTTGAACAATTAAAGCGAGCCCCAGGTGATCATTCAAAGATCTAGATCACCCTAGACTAGGCTGTGATGAAAGGACAAATATGGAATGAGGTATTAGAAGAGAAGATCAAGAGAAAAGCTTTTGCATGTGTCACTCCAGCTTGAGCCAGAGCAGAGTGAGATGAGTAAGTGCACAGTCACATAGAAAACTTCTTTGTGCCAACTTGCTATG